AATTTCACAGCATCGCCTTAAAAGCTTTTTGATAATTTCAAAGTGACATTCGATTGTCCACGATTTGTCCACAATTGTCCAACCAAAATGTTCGTTTGTCCACCCCCCAAAACTGAGATATTTAAAAAATAAAAGAAATAATGCAGATGGTCTTTATTGACAACCTTAATACATTTCATACGAATTAAACACGACAATCGTTTGTCTACACATTATTTTCCTTTGTCCAGGTCCAATTTGTGTTTGTTCACCCTTCAAAAAAAAATTAAACCAAATTTAAAAATTTGAGCCAAATTTCACAGCACCGCCATAAAAGCTTTTTGATAATTTCAAAGTGGCATTCGATTGTACACGATCTGTCCACGTATAGATTTCATATAAATGTTCGTTTTTTGACCCTTAAAAAAAAGTTATAGCAAATTTCACAGCACCGCCATAAAAACTTATTGATAATTTCAAAGTGCTATTCGGTTGCCCACAATTTTTCGACGTTTGTCCAAGTAAAATTTTCGTTTTATCACTCCCCAAAACCGAGATATTTAAAGAATAAAAAAATAATGCAGAAGGTTTTTAATGCCAATCTTAATAAATTTTATACGAATTATATACGACAATCGTTTGTCCACACACTATTTTCGTTCGTACATGCCTTATTTTCGTTTGTCCTTCCAACAGAAATAAGTTATTAATAAATTAAAAATTCAAAATATATACAATTATTATTATAACTAATTCTTATTTATTGAAACCAACTATTTCAATCGTTTGTTTATACCTTATTTTTGTTTGTCCAGATCCAATTTTTCTTTTTTTACCCTTTAAAAAAAGTTATGGCAAATTAAAAATTCTAAGTCTAATTTCACATTGGCACCGCCATAAAAACTTTTTGATAGTTTAAAAGTGGCATTTGATTGTCCACGTTTGTCCAACCAAAATTTTCGTTGGTTCATCCTCCAAAACCAAGATATTTAAGAAATAAAAGAAATAATGGAGATGGTCTTTAGGGACAACCCTAATAGATTACATACGAATTAAATACGACAATCGTTTGTCCACACATTATTTTCATGCCTTATTTTTGTTTGTCCACCCTAAAATAAATTAAAATGTTTGTAATGGGACTTTATTAAAACAAAATACTGCAATGGTTTGCCCATAATTTATTTTCATTGGTCCAGACCTAATTTTCGTTTTTCCGCTAAAAAGAAATTAGTTATTAGCAAAATAAAACAACCAACAGTATACAAAAATTTATTTATTTATGTAGTATTTATAGAAAATAATTTTGAAATAGTATAGTATATGAAACCTAATGCAAATAACTGCAATGAGTTAAACATATAAAACATAAAAAAAAAACAAAAAACACTATGACAACTAAGTACCTTTAATTGCAATCGTTTGTTTGTATATTATTTTTGTTTGGCTTGACCTTATTTTTGTTCGTCTACCCAAAAGAAATAAGCACAAAGTAAGGCACCCAAAATATAAACAATTATGAATTTAAAAACTTCTTATAACTTACTACTAGAATCGTTTTTCCACCTAACATAAATTAGTTTTTAACAAATAAATAACCCTCATTATGAACAATTATTAGAGCTTATAATTACATTTGTTAAAACTATGTACTACAATCATTTGTTCATGACTTATTTATTATATAATAAAGGTAAAAATGTTCTAGAAGGTAACATGAACATAACAATGAGCATAACAATGAATATAACAATGAGCATAACAATGAATATAACAATGAACATAACAACGAACATATATAACAATGAACATGATAATAAACATAACAATGAATATAACATAGAACCCAACATTGATCATAATAATGATCATACCAATAAACATAATGACCATAACAATGACCATAGCAATGAACATAATAATAAACAAAAATCGAATATAAGAACAATTTAAATTTGTTATTTTTTATACAGGGTATCCCAAAAAAATTAAATTTAAATGGGAAAGTTTCACAAAAAAATTATTCTTGATAAAAAATTGAGAATCCATAGGTTTCGCCGTCGATATATTATATGTTAATATTATGTTCATATTTGTGGGTACTGCCAATTCCAAGATTATTTTTTGCATTATAATATTTACACAGTTTATAATTATTTGTTATGCATAAATGTTACTTATATTTTAATAAATATTATGGTGGTTGGGTATACTTTTGTCCCTTGCGTATTTTTAATTACATGTGACTTTCCACTAGTGTCATCATGAACTGTCCATAATCCTGTTGGGTAACGACAATAAGCCTTAAAGTGCCCTGGAATATGACATACAATACCACTTAGGACGTATGTTTGATTTTCTATTGAAATTTTTTAGGAACATTGATAACAAATATTCCATCTGGGTACTTACTTCTATTTAGTTGAAAAAATATTTCAGTATCTATAAATAAATATGAATTTGCTTTTCTCTTGAATTTCACTGTAGATTGACATTTTTTACATATTATGACCGATTTATTGAAGAACTGAAAAATAAAATTTAGAAAACGTTTGATTTGTTATGTTTGTAAAATCTTCGTTTGTTATATCTACAATTAAATCAACTGCAGATAACTTCCTTAAATTTATCTCACATTTGGTGCAGATTTTGGTTTCTTCGACGCTGCAAAAGTCTGTTATTAGTTTGGTTAATAACCAATTGGGATTGGTAGTACAATCGACAATATTATTGTTTGATTCAAATATTTTTGATAAGATAGTACCTCGTTCTTGATAAATAGAATTAATAACTCCTTCAATAGCGTATTTTTTTATAATTGCTAGAAATAATACATATTCGGAATTTAAATCAATCCAGTTTTTAAATTTTGAATAATTGCAGTAAGCAGTTGTTAATACTTCGACCAATGAATCAAACGCACATGTGTTCTTAACATAAACCCTGTTGCCATTAAGAAGAACTATATTACAAGTATTTCCATTTTTTAATATTTGGTCTTTTCTTTTCTTTAACGGTCTGTCATAGGTTAGATGAACATCTGGATATGGCTTTAAATATTTTCCTATTTGCCTTAAAAGAGACTGTTCACTTAAGAGCGTATGTTTTAAATTTATTTGCGTTTCTTCGTTTGTATCTAAAATTTCTTTATTTTTTTTCATCTTCTTCTTGATTTATATTAGTCAACATATTATTTGGGCTTGAATCATGTATTGCATCGTTAGTTGAAATCTGGATATCTTCTAGTTTATTTGGGTTTTTTTTTGTGCTCTCGTAAAACCTTTCCAATTTTCTTGCTCTCTCAAATGATCATAATTAATAATAATATTATTAACACTTTTACTAGAATTAATTTTTCTCGTTTTTTCTGTTTTCATTTTATTTTGTAAGAAAGCGGTTTTTTCATTGGCACGTTTTATTGCTGCATTTTCTAATTTAGATATGCTTTCAATAGATTTGATATGGCGAATAACAAACTTATCTACTCGCATTGGTTCATAATTTGATCCCAAGTCAGAGTGTTTTAAGTCTTTAAAATATGCTTCACATCTAGAAGAGGTTGCTACATTTAATGAGAAGGGAAAATATTTAGTCATTACTTCTGTCCAGATAGGAAAGTGTTTTGCCAATTTAACTAAATAAGTAACTAATTCTGAACAATAACAAGCATTATACCTGTCCGTTAGCTTTATTGTGCTAGCGACTTGTTCGGCCTCTTCTCTAATATTATTTATAAATGAAACTAAGTTATTGTTTTCATCAGAAGCATCAAAATCATAATTTCTATCTTTATCATCGCTAGCAAAGGTAAATGATTTTATTCTTTCCAACAAATATAGCTGTTTTTCTGCACAAATTACATTATTTCCATCTGTATCTTTGCCATCATATTCACTGTATGCTACAATAAATATTGAACTAAGTAATGTAACAGAATCTTTAATATTATCACATGTTGACATTATCCCCACACATCTTACGAAAAAATCCTTTACTTTAAGCAGTTTCATGTCAAAAACATTTTTATTACAAATAAGTTTAATTAAATGAGCAATATCAATCATTAAATAACATTGAAGAGGATACTGCAATGTCTCGCAACAAATCCAAATATAATGTTTTAAGCTGCGTTCGTTGAAAGCCAAGCTTGTAGCATTTAAAAGTGCCATTAAATAGTCACAATCTACTTCCGGAGGTACTGGTGCTCCATGTCTCATGACCTCTCTTAACCAGTATGTGATTAAATTTGTATCATGTTTTTCCGAGATCATTCGAAATACTGGTTGAATTCCATATTCACCTTTTATTATAATTTGATATAAAAATATATGTCTCATTTCGCCATTTATTTTTTCAATAGATTATACTAATTTGCATCTATTTCAATTTTTTTGAGTCCATTTGTTTGGGAGACCAATAGAAACAATAAACGTTATCTTTAGAAATCTCTTTTATATACCCTGTATATTTTCCTATGTATTTTAATTCAGTTAATGAATTAATACGGTCAAAGTTTCTAGTAATTCCTAAATCACGCTTCTTTTTCTTCTTTTATTTTTCGTAATGTACATTGTCTCACAACATGCGGTAGTTCGGGGTCATCATAAGATAGATAAATCTTATACCGCATCATTTCTCCATTGTCTGGGCTTCCTGTTTAAAAGTTTTTCTCCAACAGCTGTTCGAGTTTGTCCTTTTAACGCTCATTTCTTCTCATGCGGTATTCCAGAGGTATCGACTGTGTGAACTCTTCAGACGATACCAGTACCAGGAGCCGGTTCAAATAAGAAGAAAGCATTAAATTCAGCACCGCATTCGTTACATAATCCATAAATTTTTAAATACGTTTCTGCTTCTGGATATTCAGAAATTTTACTATATTTAAAGGTATAGGCACATGGAAGTTTATTCTTTAAAAAACAAGCTTCTGAAATGACATCAGTCCAGCCAGCATTAGGCACTTTATAAGTTTTTCCACTGGTCCCTTTTCTTTTATAGAGTTTTGTAAGCGGAGCAATGGATTACCATTGATCATCCGCTAACGTTAAATCAAACCAAAATTTCGGTAATTTATTATTAATATTTTCTACCAAATCATATGGTTGAAATTCTTGACTAAAGTCACTTAAATTGCTGTCCATTTCTTCTATTTCTTCTTCTTCATCTTTTTCTTCTGCAGTGATGTTGAAATATTTTTCTAATTTATTTTTTAAATTCCATCGATTATTTCTCAGGTAAAAATTTAATGTATTTGGTAATAATTTGTCAGAAATGTTTAGGGACGCTTCTTTCCACACTTTATCTGAACGACTCTTTAATTGTTCATTTTCATCGAAAATTTCACTGTTTTGCATTATTTCCAGAAAAACTTCAAAGTTTGCCATAGCCTTTCTAGGCATTTTGATAATATGATAGTAAAATAATGTTAAATTATTAACTTAAAAATATATAGACATAATATAAAAACTAATCTAACATAAAATTCAAATAGAAAGAACAATAATTGATTGTAAATGTGTGACGGGTAAAATGTTAAGTCCTTCGTCAATCCAATATTTATTGTTGAAAAATGTTTCTGTATTTCTATTATATTCCAATTAAGGACGTATTTTAAAGATGAGATCTAAAACGTAATATTATTCGTAAAGAATTTAAAAGTGTAATATACAAGGTGTCCCATTAGTGCGTAATTGCTCAATTTTTGCAATAGATACGCAAAAAGAGTTTTAAATAAATGTTATATGAATCGTTTAAAATTCGATAGATATTAATTAATTTTGAAAAAATCGCGAATAATTTCATTCACAAATAAATGGTACTTTGAAATTCGTAATAAAATTGGTTGTGTTACTATGGAAACGTATTATTGTTGAATTGTCAAACAATAGAAAAAGTTAAGATTTCCTAACTGTTAGGAAATATTCATTTTTGATTGTACAGAGTTTTACCTCGGCAAATCAAAATGTATTTTTTTTTAAATGCAACACGTTTTATTTTATTACAGTTTTAGAATATTCTGCTAATACTATTTTCAACCCTAGAATATTTTTGAAAATATAGGGTTGCTAAGCATTTTTTTGTAAAATCAGAGAATGATGCAGACACTAAATAAAGGTAGATTAGCAATGATTTAAAACTATTTAAATTGCAGACCCATAAGGTCTCAAACTAACAAAAAATATTGACGGTAGAACTGGTTTAATTGATACGATGCGTTTTGAAAAATGGTTAATTTTAAGTTCAATTTACTACATTTTTCAAATGCAACACCCTATATAATATTTAGCAAATTCGTTAAGCATTTACTTATCCAATGATAATAACATCCAAGCCTATTATTTATGTACAGTGTGTTTCATCACTGCGTAATTGATCGATAGCTGTTTTACCATTATAGTTACAAAGATATTTTTAATACAAAAGTTATACCTGCTGTTGTACGATATTTTAAAATTATTTTTAAATAAGCAGGGTAGCCCAAACCTAAACTTTGTTAAGGAGGTCCTTTCGCCACCAATGTTAAATAAAAAATATTAGATTATGACTAAAATTAATTTTTTTTCTTATAGTAGATGTCCTTATTTATCTAACAGTGAACTTTTAACTATACCTTACCGTGCAAATTTTTGAGAATTTTTTTTTTAAAATGTGTTAGTTTGTACAGTGTCTTATGAGAAAGTAAGACTTTAACAACAATTTTCGAATTATAATTAATTTTACTATTATTTATTGATTAGATGGAGTAGAAAAAAACTAAAAATAAGATTTTTGAAATATTTAGGTTTTGTTTTTTACAATAAAATATATAGGTTACCGTGGAATTTATTGAGAAATTATTATTAAAAAATCACAAAAAATTTTCAACTAGGTTACTTGAAAATTTTTTGTGATTTTTTAATATTAATTTCTCAATAAGTTCCACGGTTTACTATATATATTTTATTGTATAAAACAAAATCTAAATATTTCAAAAACCTTATTTTAGTTTTTTTCTACTCCATCTAATCAATAAATAATAGTAAAATTAATTATAATTCGAAAATTGTTGTTATATGGAATATATTAGATTTTCTAGTTTGGTTTTTCAAAATATTAAATATAATAATCTACGAAAGCGAAGAAATTTAATATTTTGAATAAAAGAGTTTGATGATGCCATGGCGGGCTAAGGAGCGATCGAGACAGTCTTCACAAAATTTAACTATTTCATTATTGTTGACGTTATAGTTAATTTCAGCAAGATGAAACTCTAAACCAAGTTTTTTTATTACAATGTCCTATATTAATATATTTCATACTGCTCCTGACTTCAGAATTTAGTCCGCCACTGCATGATGCTCAAAAACTATATATTATAATTATTTATTGAAATTACCTGTAATTTTTGCGTTATTTGTTCAATTCAGTTATATTTTCACAATATGTCCAAGAAAAATGTAACACAGCACACAGTAAAAACTTAGTAATATTACTTTCAGAAAATGTTTAAACTTAAAATTCTTTCTCATATAAACGATTATCGTTCATTCAAAAAATTAAACAAAATGATAGGACAACTTCCCTAAAGACCAATATTTCTTGGTGGAGGGGTACACGAGTCCAAGCGAGCTAAGGGAAACACATAACTTACGAACACTACTAAAATAGTTATCCAGCCAATCCAGTTATTTAAACAAGGAATTTCTTATGTCATCCGAATTGAATATTCACATGGGTTACAAGTGCATCAAGTAGTTTTCTTTCTATTACATGCATCTCTTGTATCATAAATTATAATATGCGTAAATATTATTAATTATTTTATCAGTTTCTAAGTTCATGGGATATTTATGGTTTTAGGAAAAATCATAATTCTTTACGTCAATTAATTGTCTTCAAGTGCTTACGTTATAAACTGTTTATATTTTGGGTAGTTTACTACTCGATATATAAGTTATTTTAGACAGAAAAACGAAAAGAGAGTTGGACTAACCAAAATAATTTGATGCATTAGTTTGTTTTAATAAATTGTTGCAATTAGAAGCAGATACTTTTATCAATATAATTATTCATATTTAAATTCTTTGTTAATAACTTATTTCTGTTGGGGATACAAATAAAAATAGAAGCTGAAAAAATGAAAATGATGTGTAGACAAACCATCGCCGCATTTAATTCGTGTGAAAATAATGTTTTAAGGTTGTTCCTAAAGAACATTCGCATCACTTTTTAATTTTTTAAATATCTTGGTTTTGGGGTTTGGACAAACGAAAATGAGGCATGGATAAACGAAAATATGGTGTGACGATTGCATAGTCAGATTTAATAAACTACTACTTATAATTAAGTACCATTTTTTATACTTATTTGGATAGACAAACAAAAATAAGAAATTGACAAACGAAAATAATGTGTGAACAAACGATTGCAATAGTTAATTTTATTAAATTGTCATTAGAATATTAATAATTGTTTATATTTGGATAATTGAATTTGTTAATAACTTATTTCTGTTTGAGGTGCAAACGAAAATAAGGCATGTACAAACAAAAATAGTGTGTAGCCAAACGATTCTCGCATTTAATTTGTGTGAAATCTATTAGGATTGTCCCTAAAGACCATCTCCATTATTGTTTTTATTTTTTTATCTCGATTTTGGGAGGTGGACAAACGAAAATTTTGGTTGAACAGATGTGGACAAATCGTGGACAATCGAATACCACTTTCAAATTATCAAAAATTTTTATAGCGGTGCTGTGAAATTTGGCTCAAATTTTTAAATTTGCTATAATTTTTTTTGAAGGATGAACAAACAAAAATTGACAATTTTAGCACTTTTTTTAATTGATATTTGAGTGTATAAGGTCTTGATTTACCGCTTATACTACCTTATTATTTTTTAACATCAACCCTTAACTGTAAAACCACCCAGAAGCTGGCCCATGTGATCTTGACGTCACAGGCATAATCAGTGTGGAGTGTCTACTCGGTCACTTGGTATGGTCTGTAGCAATTAATCGATAACATCCGATGTGTCGTTTAAAATCGAATTGTTGTTACAATTTAGGTTAATTGTGATATTCATTAAAATAAAAGTTGTTAAAGTTTTTAATTAAAAATTTAATAATTGCTTGAAAGCCGGACATTAGAAATGCAGAAATAATTATTTCAAAAACTGTGTTCAATCAACAGATTCGGATATTCTAATCTAATCAAAAGGGGTTATGATGGGCAAGTAATGTTATTTTTAACAGACACGTTATTTGTGAACAGGTTGTAATTTCTGTGTGTTTATAAAATAACAGACCTGTTAAAAATAACACAGGTTGTCAATCATAACCCCCTAATACTATGACAACTACCAAGAGAAGCTGGTGCAGTCCTCACATATAGATATTAATTTTTTTTCGATTTTTGTGTCTATTTTGACAGAAAATTCATACAGTTTTTGTTCAGGAGTAATACGTCCCTTCACAACAACATCATCTTCTTCAAAATAACTAACCTCAGACTTTTTACATTTCGGTTTTGGGGGGGTGGACAAACGAAAATTTTGGTTAGACAAACGTATACAAATCGTGGACAATTGAATGGCACTTTGAAATTATCAAAAATCTTTTATGGACGTGCTGTGAAATTTGGCTCAAATTTTTAAATTTGCAATAATTTTTTTTGAAGGGTGAACAAACAAAAATTGGGCCTGGACAAATGAAAATAATGTGTGGACAAACGATTGTCGTGTTTAATTCGTATGGAATTTATTAAGGTTGTCCCCAAAGACCAAAGACCAAAGACCAAGAAATCATTATTTCTTTTATTTTTGAAATATCTCGGTTTTGGGAGGTGTAAAAACGAAAATTTTGGTTGGACAAACGTGGACAAATAGTGGACAATCGAATGACACTTTAAAATTATTAAAAAGCTTTAATGACGGTGCTGTGAAATTTGGTAAAATTTTTAAATAAGCTATAATTTTTTTTTAAAGGGTAAACAAACCAAAAATGGCCCTGGACAAATGAAAATAATGTGTGGACAAACGATTGTCGTGTCTAATTCGTCTGAAATGTATTAAGGTTGTCCCCAAAAACCTTCTTCATTATTTTTTTTTATTTTTCAAATATCTCGGCTTTGGAGGGGTGGACAAACGAAAAGTTTGGTTGGACAAACGTGGACAGATCGTGGACAATCGAATGACACTTTGAAATTATCAAAAAGCTTTTATGGCGGTGCTGTGAAATTTGGCTCAAATTTTTAAATTTGCTATCATTTTTTTTTGAAGGGTGAACAAACACATTTGGGCCTGGACAAACGAAAATAATATGTGGACAAACGATTGTCGTGTTTAATTCGTATGAAATGTATTTAGGTTGTCCCCAAAGACCATCTTCATTATTTTTTTTATTTTTTAAATATCTCGATT